GTGGACTGTGAAGACCTGGCCAGGGGGTACACTTGGTTTACTTTGTACCCTTACCCTTTTAAACCATTCGAAAATAATCTTATTTTTGCTATCTGTGTGATTATTTGAAAAATACTTGAAAGCATATAATAATACGTGACAATCTTTTTACATTTGATTGCATTCAACACATTTTTAACACGCTTTTAAACACAATTCTTTTCTTGAGAAAAGCATTATTAACAATGCAGTGGTTATACACATCTGTTCAGAAATAAAAACCTAAAATATATTCCTAAGAGAGCCAGGAGGGTCTCGGAAACACTGTTTTTTGGGTAGCAGCTGCCAGATGAGCTGTGGGTTTTAAAGTTTTAACAGACACTGTATATCCTCCGGGCACTGCCTTGAGTTTTCCCAGTAGCTCTCCATTACCAGTTCTGGTGAGTAAAGTCCCAGGACACAGACTGCTGCTGTGTGAGTGCGCTGACCAGACCAATCATGCGAGACCCCTCAACAGGTGAACCCTTGTCCACAATTTCTCCTTTTTAATTCTGGACTATTAATGGCCCGCTGTGCGCTATAGTTTTTAACAGTATCTCAGCATTTTCCTGAACCTCTTGAGATGCACTGTCTTAAACATGCCCACAGTCGACTGCGGTCAAGGCGACAAGCAGGCAGAACAAGAATTACAGTCCCTTTTTCTGGAGCCTCCCAGCGTACTAGGGTCAAATACCTCTGTAACACTTGACTACACAATTTCACTTCTTCCTATTCGGACAGATGCTTGTGTTAAAGAATGTCGCTCATTTCCTCATCCAGCCTACGGGTCGGCATTTTTCTCACAGCACTCTCGTTGGCAGGCCGCTCTCGGAGCCGACCGAGCGGTTTCTCGGTTCCCCTAATCGCCGAACGGCACGGCAGCGCCCGATAATGTCCCAATAAAAACACCGGACTGGTTAAATAAGAGTCTCTTTCTTTTAAGAGAAACACCCTTTTGCCCCAGAGTCTTCATAAGCTTATGCTTTCTCTTCAGGGCCCCAGACTGTTTAGCAGTTGGAGGTGTGTTTCCTTTTGAAGGTGTTCAATGCAGTTTCCGTGATTGTCTGACCAAGGTCGGAGGCCCCACAGAGAAGAGCTTTCTGCTGGCGGGATCCAGCTTTCATCAGGAGCTGTAAGAGAGCCAGGCTGCACTGAACACGTGTCGACATGCCGACAGACTGAGTGGGATTTTTGAATACGTAGGCCACATCGTGGGGAAAAAGTGGGGCCCCTTTCTATCTCATTGTTTTCACACGCAGAGTCCGTCAAATCATCAACAACAATCAAATTCCGTTTCTGAGGCAGCAGTAACTGGCCGTCGGAGCCTTCTGTGCACTGAATGTGGGGAACTTTCACAAGGGACTTGGAGTAAAGAGGTTGCCGTTGGCTGCAACAGCAGGTGATGTTTGCAGGTTCTTCAGGAGCAGTTTTATAAAATAACTTTTTCAAAAGTTCAAAGGTCCAGACAAAAGAAATCCATGAAAGCTGGTTCTTTAACCTGATATTCATTGTGTGAATATCTGTATGGTGGCGGTGTGTCATCTTCCTGCAGTACTCGATTGTCATACACCACTTTCTGCATTTTCTTTAATGTCCGGGTCTCCGGTCCTTTTTAACACGCATGATCCCCACCTGTTGGACACTAATGTGTTTATTATTATTGTTGTTATTAGTATTAGTGCAGTTCTGCCAGTCCCACTTCCCAGTCCCACTTCCCATCACCTGTCCAGCTGAATCGCCTTTGCAAAGCGGCCTATGAAGCACGAGCTGGTATTAAGGATAAATTACTAGCCAATGTTACATAAAATCTGTTGGAATTCATTTTCATCTCCCTGAGTTTCTTTCACCTCTGAAGCTCTTACAACTATTGAATTTATCGTCCCACCCACGCCACTTTACCAAAAGCTGTTTGTTTTTACTGCACCCCCCCGGAAGCCAGTGTGTTGTTTACGATAGACATGGTCAACATTCAGGTTTCTCTTCTGTAGCTCTTCTGTGTGAAAGGACCCCTTAATGTCCTCAGCTGCATAGTCTTGCAGTTTGTAATAAGGCTCAGAGCTGGGATCTGCTCTGTGACAATGAAAATCTCCTCTGTAAAGGTCGGCTCATATCCCTTCAAAAACACCCCCTTTACTTTGAACACCCTTATGTGGTCGCCCTTATTAAATGAAAAGTTTGAGCGTTTTTACCATAGACTGTTCTCCAGACCTTAAGGAAGTTACGTGTGACAGAAGCCAGAGGTCACTTAATAGTTCTGTGGTACACATGGTTAAGAGTAAATAAGGTCTACCAGGACATCTATATTCCAGAATGTGTTGTTTTGGTGAAAGTATCTCAGCATTTTGTGTTTTAATAGTTCTGTTGAACCTCTCTTGAACACTAGCCCTCATGTCACTGTCCGTAACAAAATCTTCTTACATTTGAGAAAGTTTTGGAGGGCCCTCTTGAGAATTTCTTTACCCTCATCGATTTTTAGGAGAACAACCCTTTTTGAATATGTTTCGGGAAGCCCTGGTCACTGCTTCTCCAGCCTGACTTGGTTTCCACTGGCATGGCCCAGGGGATATTGAGACAACATATCTACACGTGTCGAGATGTAACTGAAATCATTGTTGAACTAGGAGTCGCCCCTCATGGCGCACAGGGTGGCGCTGGGCCTGGTTTTGTAACCCAAGAGGGTTTTTTCACTTCGTGTCTGCTGCGTGTCTGCTGTGCATGTGCCACAGCCATGCCCTGAGTGACATGTTTGTGTTTTGTTTTTCGTGACTCAGACTATCTCATGGGAGAACAAGGAGACCCTTCCAGCTCAGATTGAGCCCCAGGTTTACCCTGAAGACAAGATTTTGAAGTAAGTTAATTTCAACTTATTTTGCACTCTTTTGCTTTGAATGTCTGAATTCAGTGTACTGTAGTATAATAATACTATTATTTTGTACACTGCTTTTCATCCCAGTTTGCACAAAATGAAAGTTCAAGTCCAGTACTTCATTGCCATAACAACTAGTTGCATGGATTTTGGTGGTCCACACAGAAGGTCCCCCAAACTCCCAAGTTCTCCTTACAGATGATGGTTTTTCCTGCTTTCCTGCAACAATCCAGGAAGCAGATTCACAAAATTCACCGATATAATACTCCCAACTTGAGGCAAGTCTGCATTTGATTTACAAAATTATAAGTTTGTTTCACTTGAAGGGGCTGAATAGATCTAATATGACATGTTCCCCTCATCAGTATTGACAACCCTTGAAGCTGCTCTGCTGATTGATTACTGTTGACTATCTTGTTATTGCTCACTATTCTATCCATATGTGTGTATTACTCCTGTATCATTCCGGCTTAAATCTCAAAGCACGTGTAGCTGAAATCCCACATTCCTCACCGGAACGTCTGGGAAGATGTCAAGAAAGACATCACAGAGCCCTGATGGAGGGAACTTTGTGGGTAGTCGACCAGAATATACAGACAAAGGACTGGAAGAGACTGGTTTTAGTGTAAACATCAAGGAGGGGGTTCAGTTCAAGAAGAGAACGCCAAGGTCATCATCCCTGAATTCCAGGGGTGCCACACTATTCTCCTTTCGTGGTCATAAGTTCCTTTGATGACAATGAGGAAGGCTAGGGGAAAGGTATTATGGGATGCAGATGGGATGGCTAAATGATAATCAATTACTGCATTACGCAGTTGATTAACCATGTAGAAACCAAGAAATTCGAGCCTGAAGTGTTCATTCGTCCAGCCAAGCTTTATTGTATGCATACAAGAAACTACAATAAGCACCATAATAGTTATAGTACCTATCGTAGCTCAAAGGGGATATGGTCCTACAGAACTTATATACACACGTTTCCCCCCTCCTGTCTTTGATGTAACTGGAGGAAATAGAAACCTTCCTTTGTCATCAGGAGTTTAAGTGAAAACATTTACCATTTGGGTAAACATTCACCATTTGGGGCTAAGTACAGGGGCGAAACCCTCTGTGATCAAGCAGGCGTGATGGTTATAGTTCAGCATGTAAAAGCCGTTAGCAGGCTCCATCAACCTGTTAGGGTTAGAAGGTTAGGTAGAGGTGAGGAATAATTGGCCAGCCACCCCACCTGACAGTGTATTTAACATCAGGTGCTCCTTTCCTCTGAGGTTCCTGCTGCTTGTCTAGCTCCCCTTGTGCTCACCGAGAATCAGGAAATAAAGGGAGAAATTCACCTCTCTGCTGTCTCTGGTCTGATTCGTCTTTGGGGCTCTCCTGACTGCCTGCCTCAGAACGTGACACTCAGCTTTAAGATTTCCTGTACTTTTTGGGCATTTGGGTGGTTTCTTTGAAAAGCAGTCTTGAATCCACCTGTTTTTAAAGAATAATGTGAATTTGGCATAACTGTATAAAGAGAGAGGGGAGCGGTTTGTGGGTCAGTCTCTGGTTTCATGAGGGGCAGGCAGGTTGTGGGTTCGAGTCCCTGCTGCAGACACTGCTGTCATTCCCTGAGTGGGGTACTTCACCCCAGTGGCTCCACTCCTCCCAGCTGTATTAGTGGGGACCAGCAGAGCTGGGGGTGATTCCTGTGAACGTTGTCCTGTCTGGGGGGGGGTCAGTGAACTCTCTGTTCACTCAGCGCTCCTGACTCCAGGAGCAGCTCTGGCCCGTGGGTGTTGCCTTTGGAAATGGCAGGCAGCCCTTTTCAAATGTTCACAGAGACCGTCCCCTCTTGCAGGGTCTACACGGAGATGAGGCAGGTCTCGGACAACCTGAGCCACCCCCGCTTCGAGCTGACGGACGAGGAGCCAGAGGCGGACGTTCTCTGGATGTACTCGCACATCCGGGACTACAGGTAGGCGCTGCCCTGGAGCCGGAGGTCACGGCAGCAGTCGGACCCGTTTCCAATTCCTGCTCGTGGCGGTTTCCCGAGTGGCAGCCCCGCGTAACAGTGGGAGAGGGAAACGTGACGGGCGGTCTGGGAGCGAGCGAGTCGGGTTCAAGGAGCTTTACGTGCAAACGATGAGTTCCACTGTCGCCACAGTTTGAAGGAAACACAAGTGTCTTGATTGAGAATTGGTTATTAAGTAGGAAACAGAGGGTACAAATGAGTATTCCAACTGGGGCGATGTAATTACTTATACTAGGAACACTGCTCTTCATTCATGTTATCAAGATTCTGGTAAAGTATTAAACTAGTAAAGTTTGAGCAAATGTCAAGACTGGGCAAACACTTGGGAGATTGTTTTATGTAGACAAGTGCTGGGTTTATCATGCAGTCAGTAAAAACAATATAAGCATTCTTAACAAATTAACAGGAAGTAACCTGAGCAGTAGCTAAAATGTGAGGTGGGAGTTAGTTATATTTTTCAGCACAGCTCTGGTGATGAGACTAACGACTAGACAAGTGACAAGCTGCCAGTTCCTGTTGTTAGTTAGAAGTCTAAACTGCAGAGTTTTGGGCACATTGCTACTTGTTGAGAGGAGAATTAGGGAGCACATAAGGCACATAAGGAGTAAGGCATTGCAGAAATCAAGCCTTGATAATGAGGCTTATAGATGCACGAGTCAGGCACTGATAGACATTGCCTGATGTGGGCAATATTTCTAATGAGGGAAAAAAAGATGTCTTAATCGAATTTTTCACTTGAGACTCGAAGACGGGAGAGGATCAGGTGTGACTCCCAGATTCCTGATTGTGGCTGATGCGTGGGTGGAGAAGCCCTTGAGTTTTCCAGCTGAGATTTCCTACCTACCAGTAGAATTTCTGTTCTGTCACTATTCAGCTTCAGATGTCAGCCAGAGTTTGATGTCACGCAAAAGAGAGATAAGAGATGAGAGGGGGGGAGATCAGAGGGAGGAGGAGCTGTAACATAAATCTGAGCATCATCAGTAGAACAATTGAAGAAAGATATAAGATGTGAAGAGGGGGTTAACTGATTCCTTTCTGCACAAGGACTGGACGTCTTGTGACACAAGACACTCCAGGGTTAGAGTAATGGCAGGAAAGGGGGATAACTGATAAGGATTCCAGATGCCAGCTAGAACCCCCCCCCAACGAAGGAAACCTAAAACTGACCATTAAGAGTGGTCATAGCCTGGGGGCCTGTCCGAACACCGTGACCTCTCCCCATTACCATGGTAACGAGCTACTCAGAAGCAGCAGAAAAGGGCTATATAAACTGGAATTTTTGTACCGGTACTTTGAACAAGACTTCGGTTTTATTGTTCCTTGCATGCAATAAAACTCATCTGTCTAAACTTCATCTCGGGATCCAGAACTTATTTGCCTGTTACAACACAATGAAACACAAGACCCTGTTTGCGTATAATTTAGCCGAGAATTAGCATATAAAAAATGAATTATGCTTTCGGATTTCGCAGTTGGATGCTTGTGGGTGGGGTTGATATTTTAGAGCCTCCTTCTTGAGCTGTGCTCGCCTTCTCCTTCAGTGCTCCCTCTGGCAGGGGAGAAATCCCTGGTGAACTGAGCTTCAGATCAAGGTATGTGTCGCTGGTTGACGTGACGTTTATATCCCAGTCACTGGTCTGTCAGGTAGCTAGTTCAGTTCCAGCTCTCCGCACATTGGAGGAGGTTTTGTTTCATTCTTGGTAGTTGTTGAATATTCAGTTGTTAAGCATTATTTAGTAACCAATACCAGGTTCATAATACTGTTTGAAGTCAAAACTCAGGATAACAGGCTTTGCAAGTTTGTTTTAAAGTGCTTTTTTGGCCAGAGCTCTGTACTCAGAACTGGAAGGTTGCGGGTCCGTTTCCCAGCTGGCACACTGTTGTTGTACCCATCGAGCGAGGCGCGCCTCTAGAGTTTGCTCCTGTAAATGTTTGTCCTAATGTGTGAATGGGTCATAACTCACAACAATCAAAAGGCAGTTTTAACCAAAAGGCCTGTCAGAATAGAACTCCTACATTGCAGTGTTTTGGAGAAGTGTCTTAGTTGTCAATGTTCTTGCTTTTTGTTGCACAAGCCACCCAGTTCACGTTTCCAGTCCCAGTGTGTGACTCTCTTGCTCTGTTCTGCGGTGCGGCTGGGTGCTGGCCCTGTGCTCCGGGCGCCTGCTGTGCTGATGTCTGCAGGCGCTTGCGGTTAGGGCTCGGTGTGCATGCCGTCTTGCTGGGTGCAGCTGGTGCGCAGGGCACCGAGGAGCACCGCCCCGCCCCGCCCCGCCCCGGGTGCTCTTTCTCCGCTCTCGGACAGGAGCGAGCCCGTCGCTGTGGTGCGGCCGGCGTGTCTTTGCTCTTTCCTGTTCTCTTTCTGCTTCTGACGTCACCGCGCTGTGGTTAAGAGTTCACTGCTCACAGGAGCGGAAAGCGCTCTTTACTCCGCAGTACACCCCCCGTCGGCAGTGTCCTCAGGTGACAGGGCTCCCCCCCACACACACACACACCCCAGTGCTGAGTGCTGTTAGAGTCCTGCTGGGGCCAGGGGTGAGGCAGACAGTTTGAGCAGGAGGAGAAAGATAGAGCTTGTCCTCTTATCGGCAGTTTTCATTGGATTAAATATCCAGCTCTTTGAGTTGCCTTTATGTTTTGTTTTTACCAGATTTTAGTTCTGTCTCTTGTAACCTTTAGAAATTAACTTAATTTTAACTTTTACATAAGAACACGAGAGAGTTCACAAACAAGGGGAGAAGGATTAGAGCACTTGTTGCCTGTGGGGTTGTTAGCTAATCGATACCATTCATCTCGTTATTCATTGTTGTTTTCTTGTGTTACACTTTGTGCCTTAATGCAGGGCAGAACCTTGATAAAGTTGGCAAATCGCTTCATGCCTGATGTACCAGTGACATTTATAGTATTTCTAAACATATCCCAGTTTTCCCTGAGCAGGATGGTACACAACTCATTTTCCATGAGAGCCAGGTCCAGATAAACAAAAACTGAACTAAGTCTAAAATCCACTCCTTCTACGGCACAGGCGCATCTCAGAATGTGAGCTGACACAAGGGGAAGAACTGTGACAGATTTAATGATGACAGATGATGAAGAGACTCTGTAGTGCTTTTCCAACACCAGTTGCTGGATATTATTAGTTTGCTTTTTCAGAGATCGTTAAATTTACAAATCGCCCCCCCTCCGTGGAAGAGATCCACTGTTGTTCCCATTCCCATCACTGCCAAGGCCAAGTTAGGTTCACGGCTCCATGCCAGTTGCTCTCCCGTCTCTCCCTGTGAAAGCCGGAGAGAAAAGTGAAGCTGCACAGGGCCTTGCTGGGCCCCTGCAGGTTGCACACAGAGAAAGACAGGAAGCAGATGATGCAAGACTCACATTGTTCAACATCTTGACCAAGCAAAGACATTTGTAAGAAATTATTCTTGATTTTTTTTCTCTGATTTGAGTACAATACAGCCACTGTTACTTGCACAGAACTTCAGTTTAAACAGTAGCTTGATATAGGTCCTAGCCATGATAAACTCTCCAAGTGAGCTGGTCACTCTGCAACTAAGGGTTTGGGTCACTCAGGTGAGCAGTAAGGCCAGACAGAAACGCCAGGTTTGCAGTCGGGTCCCCGTCTTCCACCACAGACGTGTCTGTTCCCTTCTCTTGGAGACAAACAATCGGACAGTCTTTCACAAGTTTGCCAGCAGGAGGCGATATGCCTCTGACGCGTTAGGTGTCCTTGCAAATGCTTGTTGTTTTCAGGGAGTCTGTCATTCTGTCTTCACCCTGCAGTTCCTGGTGCTCCTCCTCCTGGTGGTGAGGTCCTTGTGTGCCCCGGATACAGCAGGAATCCGAGGTGCCCGAAGGCTCCTGGTTTCTGTTCAGCGGGAAGGGCTCCGTGCTCCCCGGGCTGGCTCTCGTTGCTGACACGCTTTGCTGGTGTTGCAGGAGCCTCAGTGGCGAGCGACCCCACGTTCTCCTGAACCAGTTCCCCTGCGAGACCATCGTCACGGTGAAGGACTGCCTGGCGTCGGTGGCGCGGCGGGCCGGGGGGGGGCGGGGCGCCCCATGGCTCCCCCGGACCTTCAACCTGCAGACGGAGCTGCCACAGTTCATCAGCCACTACCAGCAGAACCAGGACAGGTACGCCCGTCTCCGCTTGCCTGACTGGAGCTGGGCTTCCTGCTTTCCACCTGTTTGGTCATGGGATGTCTCACTTATTTTTTCTAGATAATGCCACCCTTCTTTTCTGTTTGTATGTGTCAGTAGATTGGGCTGTTTGATGTCTCTGTGCAACACCTTCTGCTAATGACCCCATTTTGCTTAGGATGCAGTGTGATGGAATTCTTCACCGATAACGGGAAAACTCTTTTTTCCCCAAATTGAGTTGAAGTTTGTGAACTAATTACCTTATTGCCGGAGGGAGATGGAGACGCTCTGGTCTTCCAGGCCCCTGGTCTGAGGTCCAAAGCACGGAAAGCACTGTGTGAGCATGAGAAATCTTATTGAAGCCGAACAGCATTGCGGTCACCTGCAGGGGTGACGTCTAAAGGACTGGCTGGTTTCCTCTTGTCATAAACGCTGTGGCTGTGCAGCTGAGCTGCATGGCCTGGTTGTGATGTAGCTGAAAGGTGTTTCCAGTGCAGTTGGGGTTACAGGTCACCCAAGCCACGCAGCTCTAAGTGGACAAACCCTTCTCTGCTCTTTAATGGCTGTGTGGTGTTAGTAGTACATATCATTTTCAAAGGTGACAGGTGCCATGTCCCCTTCTTGGGCCCAGCAGCTCAGAGTATTTTGCAGCTCACAGTATTTTGCAGAAATAAGGGACACGGTAAAACCACACTGACTTCCAGCAGTGATGCATAAGATGTTGATGCATTGATGTGCATTAAGGGCATCGGTGCTGAAGATAAACCACGAGTTAAAACAAAAATAACAGTGGTTTTTTAGGTTATGATCATCAAAGATGTTTTCAAAGAACATCAGCTCTTATGTCACTGAGCAAAACCAGTCGACATGGAGGGCAGTGGGGTTGATAGAGATACATTACCCACAGATTTAACACATTAGGTACAAAGGGAAATTCAGACAGGTCCATGAGTTATATAATAAAGCCTGGAGATGTTATTTTGTGTGGTTATTCAAATGACGTTGATGAGTTGTGTGAATTTCTCTCTTGAGGAATCTTGCATTCAACATCTGATTTAAATGCATCCTCATTAGCAGATACCTGAAGCTAATCAGTGATGCAAACTACTGAGGATATTAGGTTTCATAACATATAGAGGTAGGAAAACATTACCTCCTGCTGCATGTCATTTGGGTTTAACACCTTACTTGGATCTTAATAATCCAAGTTACCTTTGTCTGAATTTTATGCACAATGGGACAGTGGGCAAACAGACTTATGAGAAGTTCTGCAATGACATCTTCTGTGTCTCCAATGTGTTGGTGTTCTCTGGAATTTCCTGCTCTGGTGAGCGCTGTGTTTACAGTGCCTGCAATGATTATGTGCACCAATTTAACCTTTGTTTATACAGATTTTACTGGACATCAGTGTATATATGACACTTATTAGGCACGTTAGGTACTGTGTTTACTATGTGGGTTAATGAAAGGAGTGAGTTTGTCACAGCTTTGTAGGACAAGCCTTATTGCTTACCAGTGAGCACTGAACACTTTGACACCAACACTGCAGAAGTAAAGTCAGTATGAAGCAGCTTGTGTCATTTGTGTTTGGCCAGGTCATCTTCAGGTTGCATTTCCAAACTGTGATAGCAGCAAACCTTTAAAAAACACCTGTAATAAATGAGGAGACCCTCCTTTGTACAAAAAAATACTAGAAAGGACCCAACTGGGGTGTGATTTACTGGGCTTTTCAGGATTACTTGTAAACCGCTATGAGGCAGGTAAAGGTCAACATGAGGAAGGTATAGGCACTGAATTCAGAGCCCTGTTTAGAAAAGCCTTACCGCTTCTGCTTCTGCGAAGTGGATTTGAAATTGTTAAACTGGGTGTGACATCAGCAGCTAAAAACATCT